GAGACGAGCCCGGCCGGCCGTGCCGGGGAAAACACTGCTGTGTGCCGCGCTCCGAGGGCGGCAGGAGGCCGTGGAGATGGAAGGAAGCCATCGGCACCTGCAAGGGTGCTCCGGAGCACCCCACGGTGCCACGGGGGGGTACCCCCCCCCCAGCCTGCCCACGCCGAAGGGGTGCAGGCAGCAACCCCAGGCGCTGCAGGATGTCGCCTCCCCGCTCTCAGAACGGGGGAAAGGCCCTTTAAAGGCAGGAGCGCCTTTATTTGTTTTTACTGCTGCACAATCAGGGCTTGAACATAAGCAAAGGCCGGAACCAGCCCAGGGAGAAGGCGACTCTGTAGAAAACACACACATAGAGAGAGACATGCACAAACATACAGATATTATACATGCATGCACACTTCTCTCTCCCTATTTTTTTTTTTTTTTTGCTGAGCTGGCGAGAACGGTGGGATTGGAGCCAGGAAAAACAAATCAGTCCTACCATCCCATTCAGGAAGTTTCACTTTAAACCAAACCAGATGATGGCTCCAGCCCTCGGATACATTTAACTGTGAGATAACCAGCTCGCAGCACAACGTGCCAGGGCTGCTCCCGAGAGGGGAGAAAATAACCCCGATTCCCCGCGGCTGCTCGCTGTCACGTACACCCCGTGCCCTCCCTGCAGAGGAGCAGGGGCTGGCGTGGGGGGGAGCACGGCTGGGTTTTTCCTAGGAATGCCTCCCTCCGTCTCACTGCTGTCGAGAAGTTCCCTTTTAGCGTTCACAGGGTGCTCACAAGCTCTCGATGGCCGGGGACTAGGCTGAAGTCACACACCGAAGGGCGTCTGAAATGGTGGGGAAGCCAAGCACTGGCCCCGGGCGGGGGGGGTGCCCACCACGGGCTCGACCGGGCGTTTGCTCAACCACAGAAAGAACTTGTTTCCATCCCCATATGATGATCACATTGTGCCATGAGACCAGGAAGACTGAGAGAGCTCCCGAGAGCTTCCTTTAGCTCTTGTGCAACTCCGGACTCCCAGCCCACGAGTTAACCCTCCCGAGCCACCTGGGCTTACTCCACCACTGCCCCGCACCATAGAAGAGGTGGGGTAAGGTCTGCAAGGCCCAGACACGGCTCTCAGGACAGCCCTGAGCATGCAAAAACCTTCAAGGTCACCAAAGAAGGGTGTGAGGATCAGACAAGGAGGTCCTCACTCCAAGGTCATTCAAAGCCACTGAGAGATCAAACCGGACCTAAACCGCTCCCTGACACATCGCTGACCACTGAGGTGCAGCCCTGGGGAACTGATTTCGCCTTCGCTCAGTCATGCCCAGCGGCTCCGCGGTGGTTTGGTCGATGCAGCGCGGGGCCGTCCCCATGCCATCCCTCTGCCCAGCCCCACCCCGGCCCGCAGCAGCGAGCAGCGGCGTGTGAGGGCAGCACGACTCAGCCGCGGACACTGGATGCCTGTGCAAAGTAAAGAAAGAACGGGGGGAAGAATCCAGGAGAGCTGCTGGCCACGATTCCGGCGGCAGCTCGCCTTGTGCCAGGTATGGCTGGCTGCTCGTTGTGAGCCCTAAGGGGAGCAGAGCTCTTCTGAAACACCAGAACAGCCAGCGTCCACGGTCTGGGTCTGGATTTGCTTAGGAACTCCAATTTAATAACGCTTTTTGGAAGAGGATTCAGCTTGAGAGTTGGCTTGGGGTCCGTGCAAACCACCCGGGGGAGGAGAGGTAATCACTCCTGCTCTGTGCGCCATGCTCATCCCTCCCTTCCCTCCTCACCGCAAAATCAAACACACCCAACACTTCCTAACTCTCCCTGCCACAAGCCAACCATGAACATCCAAAAAACCCCTTTTTCCATCTGCCAGCACATTGGTACCCAAACGGGGGAGGAAATAAGTCCAAGATTACTTCTGAGGGCATCATCTGCTCATTGCATTAATTGCTGTAAGAGCATCCTTTAATTTTTTATCCATCCAGACACGCAAGACCAGGAATGCAGGTGAGACGCAAATCCCAGTTGCTTCAGCTGTTTTTTTCCCAATATTCAAGCCTCAGCAGCGATACACACCAGCAGCAGTTTCCAGCGCTTTGCTTGGTTTCTCAAATGACTGTCAGTAACTTAACTGGCAGTTGCCAGCTTCAGGTTGTAACTGGGAAAATGCGCCCACTCAGCTACGGAGCGGTCCAGGAAAGCATTCCTAATTCCCCCTCCCATTCCCAGCTGGGTTGGGGGAGGCGGGGAGGGGAGAAAAGAGCATCAATTGAGGCTTTCACTTCCCAGCAATGATGCTCATCTGCCACCGAAAATTAACTCCGTGTGCGTCTTATTTTCGCTGTGGTTTGCTCTCGGTGGTTGCCAAAAGGGAAATGATACCCCTTCCCCCATGTGCTCATCCCACTGCTGCGGCCGCAGGAGCCAGGGCTCCTCAGGTCTCGGCACCGCTGTTACTGCCCGACCTTGTCCTGGCTGCGCTACGTTTACTGGCGCAGGAATAAAGACCTCTCTGCACTTCACAGGGGAATTTTCTAAGGACATTCACAGCCGAAGCAGGTAGAAACGAGTGGTTTTCTCTGCAGAGAACCGTTCGCTCCCAGAAGACGTGAGAGCCCTCAACGGAAGGGACCCAGCACCCGCGTGCAGGTGCAGCAACCCCGAGGACGACGCTCGGACCCTGCCAGGGCTGCAGCACCCTTTGCACTGCCTGCAGCACCCACTGCACGGGGCCTTGCAGGGCGCGAGGCTGCGGGAGGACGGGGCTCAGCCAGCGACTCACCTCCCGGGCTGGTCGGGGTATTTGTGTTTGCAGTATGCCTCTAGCGACGCGTACACCTTCTCCCGTAACGCCTCCACTTCAGCCGGGTTGGAGAGACCTTTCGAGTCTGAAAGGCACCGAAAGGACCATCAGCCAACAACTTTTTTTTAGCAGGCAAGGGCCCCCCTGTGCACCCCCCCAGACCCCTCCATCCCTCCTGGCACCCCCAGAGCAGGGCACAGCGTGGACGTGGGGTCTGAACCCCAGGAATTTGGGGCAGTACCTAACACCTCCTGGGGAGCCTTCAAGCCCCGAAAGGTTTGCCCTGTGACTACAGGTATGTTTTACCCCACACCCCAACGCCAACTGTTTTGGCTCATTCCAGTGATCACAGACCCTCACGAAAAGGGTTTAAGGTGCCCCTCGAGTCCTGGGCTCGTGGGATTTCTCCCTCCAGCACAAAGCACTGGGGCAGGGCTAAACAAAAAGCCCCCGCTCTGGCAGGTCCCCCGGGGCACGGTGAGGATCTGTTTTTAGTAGGGTGAAAGGGACAAGTCAAGCAATCGATATCCCCAAGCACACGCGCCATGGGAACCTCTCCAGATTCCCCTTCTTTTACCGTATACGGCTAATCCTAAATTACAGACAGTAAATTATTGGTGATTACAAGGAGGGAACCGGGGGCGGGGGGCAAGTCAAGCAGAAAAACAAACTCAAGAAACAGCAATAAACTCTGCTGAAACACCCTGGCCCGGGTTCGGTGGGAAAGGGCAGGTCTGTGCCCAGCTGTGTTTGGGTACAAACCATGCTCCTGCGAGGGCAGGGAGGGGAAGGGGTGGCCACAGATGTGGAGGTCCATCCTCATCTGCCCATCTGCTTTTGCTCTGCACTGACCCACTCTAAAATATAGAGCACCCCTCAAACAGAGCTGTACGGGCGTCTGCAGGCTGGCAGTCTATCTCCTGCTTCACCAGGGCTTTGCTCTCTAACACCGGAGACAACCCCCAGCACTGAACCTTCTTCTTCCCTTGGGCTGCTGGGGCCAAGGGGGAAAAGCGAGCAGCGTGAAGCCTCCTGGAGTCTGTAAAACTAAGCAAGCTGCGGACAAAAAATAAAGTTCTTGTGTATTTTAGGAGCACGTTTCATGTCTTTCACCCTCTCCAGGTCTGCAGAGAGCTCTTCCAGAAACGCAGTTAATAAAAGCTCTTGGATGCTGAGATCAGGAAACAGAGGTCAACAAGGTCCATGCTCTAACTTCGCTCTAATCCATACTTCTGTCATAAGGATATCTAGACTCATTTTTGCTCCTATTCAGGGACAACTCCCTAAAGCACCAGAACTTTCTTTTTACAAAAGGTCTGAAAAATAGGAAGACCATGTACATTGATCAAGCCAAAGCCCCTCAAGCTCATCAGAGAACTCAGCCCATCAGTAGAGTCAGCTCCAAAAACAGCATTCGCCGTCTCCTCGGATGATCACAGCCGAGTCTCGGCCAAGGCTGGGCCTTGCACGGAGAGTATTTCAGCCCGTGAAACCAAGCTGCCCTCTACGAAGGGGAAAACATCCCTTGGAAAGGAGGGTCTGGAGAGCGACCCTGGTCATGGATCCAGATCCATCCCTGACCTGCAAAGGACATGCTTGTAAGGTGGTAGACGCATGAGCAGCGCTTAATTTGACTTTCTTTCTCGCCTCTCTTCCTTCTTGCCCTGCCCTCGGGAGTTGGGTGCCCTCAGTTATTTGCAATGGTTTTATAGGTAAGAAAAGGAGCCAGAAGGACAGAGCATCAGCCAAGAGAGGACCGGAGAGAAGGTAACGGCATGTACCAGGGTTGAAGAGGACAATGGCTCGCAGGCAGCCTAACTCTGTCTTGTCCATCTGCATGTCTCGCATTTTTGACACGAGTTCTGTCAGTACTCTGCAAAGGACACAAATCACAGGCGTCAGCGTTAAAAAGAAATTAAAAAACACCCAGGTGTCAGATCCAGAGTGAGGTCCTCCGGTTCATGGTTAATGAAGTCATGGGATAGTGCTTGCTGAGGATATGCCCTCATTTTCCTCCTGTATCAAAAATAGCTCATTAGGAACATCAATAGTTCCTGTGAGATACAAGAGAGACCATAAAAACTGGTTTCACGCATTCACTGACAGGCTTTGGCACCTGAGAAAGCTGCCTAAAAATAAAAAATAATAATAAAAAAAAACCCCAATAGGTATCTAAAAGCAATTTCCTCTGCCGGTAATTTTTATTACTCCCTTTGCTCCTACTGCAGGTGCCGGTCTTGAAATACTTTCCACTGATTGCCCAGTTTTTCCTATTGGATCCTGCAGTGAAGTCATGATCTTGCACTTATGACCTCACGGGAAACAAATGATGTCACCCAGGCCCAAAGAACAATTTCCTTGCAAAGCAAAGAAGCAAAGGTGATTTGGTATCAACTAAGCCGTCTCAAGATGAGTCTCGGGCAGAGACATCAGCCACCATTTAAGCAGTGTCCGGAGCCACACTGTGGGTCAAACACCCTGGAAGTCTGGCTTTAAAATACTTTCCCAAAGCACAAGATTAAAGAGCCCTCGGGATACGCATGTGGAACCTGCTGCGTGGTTTTGGTGCTTTTCCATTGTGAAACTAAAATCACGTCTTGGTCCAATTAAAGATGAAAAGAAATAAAGGAGTGGCCTCCTCGTAACATTAGAAGGCATCTGGACCCCATGAAAGAGGCTTTGATTTGCACTGGGCAGCCTTCTCCCTGACTATTTCGGGCTGTTGGGTTTCTGCAGGTTTAAGAGGAGCAATTTAATGTTGTTGCCTGCACCAAGGATCACAACGTTCCCACGCCGTGGGATGGACACGCATCAGCCTGGGCTCCTCCGGCCACAAGCCCACGTGCCAACGCGTCTCCATCCGACCCCTCAAGCAGGTTGCAATGTGGGGAATGGAGGCAGATGGGTGCACAGACAGAGATGGGGATGTCTAGGCAAGGTGGCCCAAGATGCGCTGCCCACCATCCATCCATCCATCCATCCACCCATCCATCCCTCTCTCCCTCCCTCCGCCCACCTGTCGAAGATGGCCCCGACGCCAGCACTGTGCGCGCTGTTCCGATGCACGTGGAGCCCGGTGGCTAAGAGGATCCCGTCTTTCACGGCAATGGAGCGGTGGGAGAAGGAGGCGATTAGGAGTTCATTCCACCCTGGGGAGGAGAAAACAACCAAGGCCGCAGGTTAGAGCCACGGGGTCCTCAGCGGGTTCGGGAATCAGCAACGGCACCTCCCTGGTGCTAAAAAGAGAGGAGGAAACTGCTCAAGAAGTGCCTTTGCTAGAGTAACGACGCTGGATATGGGAAGGGAGGGGGGAGCCAGCCCTTTCTTGGATGTCAGGGAAGGAAAAAACTGTTAAGGAACAAATGCACTAAAAATATAATGCTAATAAGGGAAGCAGTTTCCTCTATAAACCTTGCAGGCACCAGAGCAAACAGCTCTGCCCTGCTCCTCTCCCTGTGAACCCAGGAGTGGGTGTGGAGCCCTGCAATCCCCATCTGACCTTACACTCGGAGCAGTTAAAGACCTATTAACGCTTTATATCAGCTAATTGGGCTCATTTTCAGGCCATAATGGGGCACAAAAGTTCATTGACCATTATTCAGCTGTGTAAATTGGACCGTGAAAACTCTTGCTTGCAGGTTTGTTGCTTCTGCCACCTAAATACTGGAAGGGATTGCCTCTCCTCTCGCCTGCGGCTGCACAGGGATGTCCCACGTCCACGACCACTCCACTAACAGGTTTCCACAGCTGCTTGGAAATCTGCTTTTGTCTTATTAGTTACTGGACGTGCAACTTCAGGAGATACGAAAACACATCCTCTGAGCTGGGACACCACAGGAGCAGTTTGGGCTGGTTACAAATGGGGAAAGGAAGATGCAACCTCCCTCCTCGCCTTCCAGCCCCCCTTCCTAATTTAACATGTCTTCAAATTATTGATTCTGCTACTGGCTGAGCTGAAGAATGCCCAAAATGAAACCTATAACAAGAAGAAATTATGTAAAGTTTGAAGGATGGAAATTTTGGTGGCTTTGAACCAGGAGAGGCATCTTCACTAAGACAAGATGGGTCTTCTGGGTCTTCTGCAACCCTGGGGAGTCTCATGCTCATGTTGGCCGATTTACCCAGTTCTGGTGTCCAGAACACAGGGCTGCATGTCAGGGTCCAGAAACATCAGGGTATTTGATTTTATTTTTTCTTCCCAGGCTGGAACAGCGATGCACCAATATCCTTCACCTCCTCTCCTACCACAGAAACATGTCTTTTCTCACTGACTGGAATAAATACAAGGTCCATGTGTGCTCTATTTACCTACTGTTGCAGAGATGGGTTGTGCCATTAGAAATGTTGACAAGGAATAAAGTTCACGCTTTCCTAAGTGGCCACGGGATGTTCCCACCCCAGTCATGGGAACATTTATTTGGCTATATACTGGGTGAGGCCTGGCACTTGCAGAGGGATTGCAACACTGTGAAACCCAAGGCGGATGGAGGAGGAGATGTGGGACTGCACCAGCAGCCTGCAGGAACAGTACTCCATGGCTGAAGAGGACCTCCCAGAGCCAGACCCACAGAAAGGCGCCATGGGTGCCTCCCACCAGCCGTCGCACACAGACACACAGCACCTCCACACGCAGCCCCTCCATGCAGCTCCAACCAACAGAAACCAGAGCTGGTTCACGGTGTCCCTCCATGGCTCCAGCTTTCACAACTCTGCCCTGACTCTCGGCCATCATCCAACACCCCTCGGCCGCAGCTCCACACAGCCCCAGCGGTGCCAAATCCAGCCTACGGCTTGCCAAGAATCTGTGAAAGTGGTGAGGCTGTGGGGTGCCACCAACATCTGTGCTGGGCTTATTCCAGCTAAGGAGCGCTGGATTAATCAGCATCCTTCAGCTGGGATGTTTCGGGAAATGAAATGGGGAACCTGTTTCTACCCGGTGCTTTCGACAGAGAATCCCCAAAGAACTGACAACGTAGAGACAAGCAGGGAAAAATTAAGTATGACCACAGGCAGTAAATCTGAGTTAGAGATCAAACAAATCTGCCCAAAGAGTTTTGTGTTTAAGCCCAAGCTCTGGATAAGGAGAGCAGATTTCTTTGACTCTCGCGACTCCTTTCTCATCAAACAAGGTGGCTGCAGCCTCCGGGGATGCTCTGGGGCAGGGAAGGCACCTGGCAGCGCAGTGACCATCGCGTTAATCCATCTCACTACCAAGTTTCCCGACCAGCCCTATAAAATGAACTGCAGCTGCAGAGATGTAGTGCTCAGCATCTCACACAGAGAAAGCATCCGGTTGTTCCCATCTCAGCCATAGCAAGCTTGGAAACAAGAAAACCCAGGGAAAACAGGCTTCAAAAGTTGGGCTTCCTTCTCCTCCAAAAAGCTCAGAGAGGGAAGATTTTTAAATGATTCAGCAATAGAGGAAAGCTACTGCCGGCCCATCCAGCACCGCTCCTCCGAAGATGTGTGCTCCACTTAATTTTGCCTCCAAGGATGCATGATTGAACCTGACTGACACTCTTAGCTAAATTTTAATACTTAAATATTTCATGGGCAGCTGTTCTCAGCAGGCCACTCTCCCCACTCAATAATAGATAGAGCCACTGGTTAAAAGACTTGGGGGAGGTTATCTGAGGCCCTGACAGAGACGCTTGGAGCAGGGACCTCTTCGGAGCTGCTCCAGGTGCTCAGCCCACCTCATGGCCAAGGGGTTAGAGCAATCACGAAATCTGGGATGCGATGGGGTCTGCAGCCCCCTCTCCTGCCCTGTGGAGCGGCTCCTCCAGGATGCCGGGTCAGAGCTGGTCATAACAAGCACCAGCACAAAGGAGAGAACATCAGGTCAGAAAGTCTCTAGTTCAGTTTTCATTAGCCTTCTTCTAAAGAGAAAGGAAAACCTTGAACTGTTGTTGTGGGTTTTGTTTCCACTTCACAAAAGGCAGCTTTTGTCTGAATCCAGTTCTACCCTGCGATATTTGCAGAAAGCCCTCGAAGATTTCTATAGAGATGCTTCCCCTGCTCATCCACTCTCACAAGAGGCTCTCGAGACCTTCCTCAAAAATACACGTTTTGTATTTTCCAGAGAGGGCCCTCAGCCAGCTCTGGCAATACTCACACCCACGGAAAAATCAGAGGAGACCTTCACCAAAGGGCTGGCAGGAGCCGTCCAGGGAGGGCATGGGACTTGGCCAAGTCTGCAGCAAGAATAAAACCCCCAAATTCTCCATTCCCAGGCTACTGCTGTAACCACTAGATGAAATGTGACTATAAAAATCTCCTTTCAGTAATATTAGAAGAGTGGAAAACCTACACCGGTAAACGGTGCGACTTAATCGCCCAGAAACCACTGAGGTCAAGGATTTCAGAGAGGCTGCAAGACGGACTGGATATTTGTATATAGGGCCAAGGTATGCAGTTACACTGGTTGACAGTCAACAAAAAATTGAAGAAAGTATTAAGATTCATGCATTTGGGTTACAATCAGCCTTATTAAATAGAATGACAGCCAGTGTTTGTGTGGTGGGAAGGGGGAAACACCAATCCCATCATCTTCCTACTCTAGAGCCTTATACCTTCTCCTGAAGCAACCTGGACAAACCTTGGACTGGAGGAATTCTGGCAGTTCCTATGTTTTGTGTTGAAGTGAATACTTTGCACTTGGTTCTTAAAGCACTTTCCTGCCCAGTTTCCTGGACGTTTATTCTGGGGCACATGCTTTCTACAGTAAGAAGCCAGGAACACTGCCGTGAGGTGGATCAGCAGTGTCTTGTCTACAGAGGCCATTAACTCAAGGCCAGAAGAGTGCAAAGAGAGGAGCACACACCCTGCAGTGTCTTCCCCTCTTGAATTCCCTACAAAAGTGCATTTTGGGGAAACAAGAGGAACTTTTTTAAAACTACCAGGGACTTCACAGTCCCCGGCTTACTTGGGTTTGGCTGCCAGACTGGTTCACTCCAGGTAGCTCAGCAGCTCGCCCTGCTCTGAGGCTGCACCTCTGCTCTGCACCAGGCTCCTCCATCATTCCCTTTGGAATTCCCTGGACTACTCTGAGTAGCCGAGGTCAGTGCCTCTCATTGCCAAGCGGAGAGCTGGGTGCCACCGCCAGCCGTCAAGGTCTCCTCATTTCCTCTCCCAGTCTCACCCTTCACATGGAGTTTGTCATTTGCTGGAAGCCACGGACAACTTGCCTCCCTCTTTGTTTAAGGGAGCAAAACTCTCCGCTACGTCAAGCCAAAGCCTTTTTAATCACTTATCTGATGATTGGAGCTATGCAAAGAGCTTCATGCCTAAAATGCACCCTCGTCGAGCTCTGCTCTTGATTTCTCGCCCTCCCCAGTCTTTGTGCATAACCTGCCAGCAGTAGGGGCTTGAATTTACTCGATGGAAGATGACCCTTTTCACAGCTAACTGCTTTTCACCTCCCAAAGCCTCCGTTCCTGCAGACCCCCTGCCGCACAAGGAAACTTAAAATAAGCCCGAAGAATTTTATTTTCATCTTGGTGGGTGGGAAAGGAATGGCAATGTATTCTTCTCCCCTTTCTGGTTTTAATTATGATCACACATTTTAGTTTGATGAAATTTCATGGGGTTCCAAGCCCACTTGGTCTTTCAAGTCTCGGCTCAGGACGAAGGCAGTGCATAGCTCCCTGGGTTTAAACACCCCAGCACACACCTCCGAGCGCCTCGCTCATCAGAGATGAAGCCGGGCCATTTTTCAGCTGATTGGCAGCTGGTGCAACATTTTGGATCACATTCAGCAACATGTCCCTTGGGGCTTTTTAAATCCTATTTAGCAATTGAATTATCAGAGGCTATTACTCAGAAACAGTTAATGGCTTTCAAGTTGCCGGGACCTAAATCTAACCGTAATACCTGTCACCAGCGAGATGCAGCGCTCCTACGGCCCCGCGCCAGAGCCCGTACGGGGACGGTTCCCACTCACCTGCTCTGAGCAAGATGACCTGGTCATCCAGGGGCAGCTCGGAGAAGTGGGGGATCCTCTTGGCCCACTCCACCAGGGTGAAGAGCTGTTTGTCCGCTGCCTGGCATATGTTTGTCACCGGGTCGTTGGGCTGCCAAAAAAAGGAGATTGAAAGGCTCAGAAAGGCAGAGCAAGGAGAAGAGGAGAGGCTGGAGGAGCAGCTGAAGGGACTTGCTGCCACCCCACTGCAGGGAAGGACCCCAAAGTCAGGAGCACCCCAGAAGTGCAGGTTATCAGTCACAGGGAAAGGAAGTGACTTGGCTTTTCCACCACACGTTTTTAAGTAGTTTTTAGCAAGCTCCAAAACAGGAACCAGGAGGGTTGAGACCCAATATCCATCACACTGACTGATGAACCAAACGAGCTCCAGCCGAGGGAGGGGCAGGCTCCTGCACCCGTGCAGCACGCATGTTCTCCGTGCCAGCATCTCCCAGCTCGGTAAACCAGCACCAGAGGGGGCATTACAGAAAAAAAGAGAAAAACCTTTTCCTTTGAAATATTATCCAGTAACAAAAACCATCTGCTCTCGAGGAGGACAGTCAGCCTAAACACACCAAATCCCTGTTTAAAGGAACTGCTAACAGCTCAAGTGGGCTTGTGATTAGGAACTGGAAGAGCCTGTCTAACCCCAGCAAAGACAGACCTCGCTAGCAGAAGTGTGTATATAGGGTTTACCTCTCTGGACAGGGAGGTATGAGCCCCTCCACGTATCCCACTGTAATCCCTGCAGATATCTAGCAGTTCTGATTGTACGATTATTTTTCTCCCACATCCTTAAAAAAGCAGTTTCCAAATTGGAGGAGGAATGTTTACTTCACCCCTAGATTGCAGGGGGAAGGGGTGTGAATTCAGAGGCAGAGCAGACACGAACACCAGCGTAACCTCTCCCTTCTGCCAGTCTCAGTTTCAGCAGGCCCAGGCCATTCCTCAGCACGAGCTGGCTGTGCCACGGTAAAACTCTCTCCCAGGCTGGGCAGACGAGGAGCGTGCTGCTAAGCCTCACTCCTGCCCCCCGGAGCCATGCCCCGGACCCCTGCCCCGTCCCCTTCACTGTCCCCTGGCAGCAAACGCCAACTCTGCGCTTCAGTGGCCAATGTCTCCCATTCTCCAGGCTTAAAATAACCAGCATCTGGCAAGCTGAGGGGCATCCGCCTTCAAAGTATTTTCACCTGTTGCATGCAGAGATGGATGGGAATGGGCTCATGTTCAGCAGCGCAGCTGAGGAGTGGGGAGCTCCAGCAGCTCCCCGAGGGGTGCAAGGGCAGGGGAGTCTCGCCCTGAGGGAGCTGGGGCTCCTCCCCGGGGAAGGAGATGTGAGCAGGGACTGGGATCTTCCCCGGGAGAGGGAGAAAAGACGGGATTTCCTCTGGACAACAGGAAAACCCTGCACTGGGTGTGAGGAGGAGCTTTGCGAGTTTGGTCAGCAAGCTGGAGTAGCCAGTGGAGAACCTAGGTGTCCCAGCTCCCGCAGGGTGGGATGGGGATGGAGCCCTGCACGCCCCAGGACACGACTTACGGGACGCCCCATGCTCCAGCAGAACCGGACCTACAAAGCAACAAGTGGCTGCACAGCCCCCTGGAAGGGGTACTTGGGGAAAGTTAGATGGTTTTGCAAAGCTTTTATCAAGGGTTGCTTCTGGGCAGGTTGTCACCATCTCTAGGACTTGCCCTGATGCGGCAAGCCGAGCTCCGGGTCTCCCAGCCCAGGCTGCATCACCGCTGCTCTGCAGGCAGCACAAGGAGTACCCAGCCCTCCGTGCTTCGCACAAAGCCTCAGTGAGGGGCCCAGCCTTTAATTACACCTCAGACGGCAGTTCCTGGAACCACCACCACGCTTCCTGGCAGAACTCACTCACCGTAGCTCGAGAGGCAGCTAAAAGTATCATCCCTGGAGGCCAAAAGGGCCCTGCCTGTCTCCAGGAGGGGATCTGGAAAGTGGTGCTAGAAACCCTCCCTGTGCGTGGTAAGCAAATCCCCTCCTGCAGTAAATAGCAAGGGCACGGTGCCGGAGTGTGACAGAATGAAAGGACACGCGGGCACCTGATCCTTCTGGAAAAAACTGAGCTTGGAGACATCTTCCAGAAAATGGTGACTTGAAACCAGGCACTCAAAGGCCAATTAAGAGCTAATGGGGATAACACCTCTCAGTTACAGGCTTTGCCTTTCAGTGGCCAGGAGCCCATCCGAAGTGGTGCTTACACTGCAGGAGCCCAACTTCGGGGCTGCCGGGGACACGGGGCAGAGACAAACCCATCCTCTGCCTGGGGACAGGTATGCTGAGGGCGTACGGCCAGTGCCCAGCTGCGAAGGGACAGGGATCACAGGGGGTCTCGGGGCTTGCTGGGACACACAGCGTGGAGGAATCCTGCAGCCCTGCTCATTTACAGCTCGTGGGAACCTCCCAAAGGGTTTATCCCTTTTGCCACGGTCAGAAGCCAGACTGCTGTCGCAATTAGCAGCTACTTGCAGCGGCTGAAGAGCTGTTATCAGGGGCTCACCGGTGCAATTACTTCAAGTGAGTGTTCTAGTGATGGTCATCAAAACGCTAGTCTTGGCACTCTCCTACCACCCAAGGCAGCAGGAGAACAGATTCGCAGGGGCTGATCCCTCTGTCTTAGCTGCTTTCTGCCTGGCTCAGCGTCCTTCCCTGTCCTGTCCGTGCCGCCCACAGGGATCACTCCCCACTGTGCTCCCCTTGCTCCATCACGGGCTTCAACTCATGAACATACCCCATCCTCCCTGGTGTCAATCAAGGTGTCAGGATAGAGGTCCCCTCCCTGGTCCCATGCTCAGCAGCACGCGTTGTCAGCAATGGGTTTAGGTACCAAGGCTGCTGGAACAGCTCGCGGGCTGCAGCCGCCCTGCCCTCCCCTCTACCAGCTCTGCGGACTGTGCTGAAGCCCCACGGCTGGGTCCCACACCGTCCTCGGTGGAAGAAATCGGTGCCGGTGCCAGCTGTGCAAGCGCTGGAGCTCTCCAGCTCACCAGCGGCGTTCAGTGCAGAGGGAGCAAGGTGCAGGGACACAAATAAAAGGACCCAACGTACCAGGCTAATAGGAAACAGCTTGTGTTTTAGCCTGTGTCTATTAGGGACTGAATTTGTCTGCCTTTCCATCACAGGGGCTCTCTGGGGAGGGCTGGGAGGAGGGCAGCTCCTCCGTCTTCCCTCGCCTCATCCGGTGGCCTCATCACTGCGAGCTGCTGATCTCATACATCTGCTAAACCTGCTACAAATGTCACCTCATCGACAGAAGCCGCTTGACAATAATAGGGCATTTCAACAAGCCTCCTGCTTCTATTTAGATGCAACACACATCCTTGTTCACAGTAATGCGTGTTGAATTATGCAGGAACCAGCTTTCAATTTGCTACAAGAGGCTGACGAGACGCAGTGCCAGACGAAGCCATTTATTTCAGCTCACTCTCTGGGGTTTGTTTTCAAGTCAGCACAACACTGGCTACAACTCCCCTGAAGTATTTTTAATCCCGATATCCATCAGAGCCTCTCCAAGCCCCACGCTAACCACAGCTGAGCTGCCTCCTCCAAAAAAGCCCCTTGCAAGCTTCATGGCAATGGGACCACAGCAATTTATTTTTTTCTTCTCCATCTCTTTGCTTTGAGACTTCCCAGTCCCTCAGCATCCCGGGGCTCCCCCGGTGTACCCAGAGTGGGGGTAATTAGCCCCACTCCTGACCCTGCCACTACATTAGTCGCCTCAATTGCAGTCG